GTCCGGTGTAGACACCGTGTCTGTGTGTGAGCAAAGAAAACAATAAGTATAAATATAACAATCAGTAGCATATACTAAACATCGCACATCCTGCGATGTGACTATCGCGGATGCGCACATCGCGATATAGATGCTAAAACGATATATCGTGCAGCCGTAATGTGAATGTTTGTGACAACCACTCATTCAAATTAAAATTGTTTTATGGAAGATAGTCACAAAGGTTTGTAATGATATAAGGGCGAGTAAATGACAAATGTGTGTGAATTTCCTTTAATAAGTTTAACTGAACTTGTGAATCCTCCTATTTAGAAGTATACATACAGCAGGCATATGCGTTCAGCAGGTTCACACTGACCTGTCTATTGTACTCCTCCTCGTTCTCCATCCACATGTACTCTGCGAAGGGGTTTGCGTCCCCCTCCTTGTGTCCATTCACAACATTCTCATCCTTCCCTGATCCGCTGCCTCCTCCTGGTGTCTTTGCTACCTCTGGACTGTTAATATCAGCAGGTTCTGGGGGTGTAAAATGCTATATTAATACTGATCCCTTTCTTAGTACATAGTACCTCAAACACACACATAAAACTAAAACCAACGAACAAAGATTTATGGGGCACTGGATACAATTAGTTTAGATTATATGCATCTGTAAAACTTTACTCAATGTGCATGTTAAATGAACAATTCAAGTTTAAAAACCATAAAACATAAGCAAATTTAAGTCATTATCACAGTAAGAACGATTAACGTTAGCCCCTCTCTGTTTAAGACTGTGTTCACGCATAAACACAACTTGCTAGCAAATTAGACATTCAATATTACAAAATGAAGGCACAATAATGTTTATTACGTTCTTCTAATACCTGCGACACGACACAGTGAGTAACGCACATGGTTTAAAGAACATTATATAACTACCTGTTACGAACTATCGGTGTGTTGCATAAATGAGACAAAGAGGAGATCAGTCGACACCATCTTTCTCCACATGGATTTGATTCATTGTAACATGAGGCCTGGCTAAGGCTCCAGAGAAAACTATGTATAGTATAAACCATTAAAAAAAAATCTCCAATCAAAACAGCTTCCTTTTTGCTGTAAGATGTGCCCTACCTTCGAATAAAACACTTGATCTAACTTTACGTTTGTGAGCGTGTATTGTGAAGCTATGCGTGTTAGCTTGAGCCATAACAACAGCAGTCTTTCCACGTGAAAAAATGTTGCCTGGCCCTGCAGAGCAACGTTTGAATGTCATTTGAATCCTACTGAAGCAAAAACGGACGCCAGTTGTTTGTAATAGTTAAGTTTTAAAGGATTTCGTTAAGTAAATGAGGGAGCATGGTGGATGCGTGAGTGAGTTAGCCATACGCCTGCATCACATACATCTCACTAGGCCTCCATCTACACTGCGCTTTACACGAGCTCTGCCAAGTCAGCCTATAACGGCTTAATTTGCTTTGTATTGCACGCTAAATGTGTCGATTTGTTTCTGTTCCTGCTCTACGTATTCATCGATGGCTACCATTTTACAAAACAAAGAGTGAGACCAGCACACTGCACTTACAAAGTCAAAAGATTAAACATGACTCCTTTTGAAGATGTGGGCTGTTAAGAGGACTTACCCGGCATTGTAACGCTTCTGTCCCTCTAATCTATCGCCAAATAAATCGACTAAAAGAGGTAATTTTCCTGTTTGCAGCGACACCGTTACCTGGCTAGATTTCAACCCTACGTCAGAGTGCTCATGTGGGCCTTTCAAACAAACATGTCGCTGGCGCCTCCTGAGGGTCATCATCGGTATTTCAAAGGATGATTGCAAAATAGCCAGGAAACTGTCGCATGCTTTTAAAGTGTATTTAAAGATGCATTGACCTCTTTCGCGTAATTTTAATTCGCGTAAGAACCATTAATAAAATAAAAATATATCTATTGATTTTCGTAAATTGAAAAAAAAGTACGTATTATTACACATATTTGTAATTATTAATATATGATTTCTGTTTTTTTTGAAAGGCACATTCGGAAGGGATTTACCTGCATGCAAATTCAGTGGAAAAATACGTGGTTTTACGCCAAAACACACCTCTTTGCCTGTACTTGAAGGTGGCTTAGATAGGAACATTAGAGCCTCAATGCACAAGCACTGACTAAAAAAAAAAATCAAATGTAAGAACATGGTTGTTTTATTTGGACAGATGCGCTGACATCGTTTGGATAAAGCATCATGAGGTGTAACCCAGCTAACAATTTTTGGTTCCCGGAACGTTAGTTTTTGGTTCCCAAAAAAATAACCAAATGGGAACCAAAAACTAACGTTAGGGGAACGTTCTGTGTTTGCTGGGAACCTCTTATGAAATAGTGTCATTAATCCAGATTTGGATCTGGTACACCTTCAAATGTTTAATATAGAATGACCTAAGTGATTTTAAAGGGGTCATATGATGCGATTTCAATTTTTCCTTTCTCTTTGGAGTGTTACAAGCTCTTGGTGCATAAAGAAGATCTGTAAAGTTGCAAACACTAAAGTCTCAAAACCAAAGAGATATTCTTTATAAAAGTTAAGAGTTAACCACACCCTCCTAAAACGGCTCGTTCTAACACGCCCACACATTTCTACCTCACTATGTGGGAAGATTTACATAACGCCGCCCAAATGTTCACGCAAAAAAAGAAGGCGTAACTT